CCGCAGTGGTCTTGATGCGGTACACCCACTTTCCCGAGAGGACGTTCTTCCCGTTGATGCTTGTTGCAGGTACCAGCTTCCATGTATTTCGGTCTTGCAGAGCCTTTAGTTCCTTTTCCATCGCCTCCTTCCATTTCGCCTTATGTTCCCCCCCCAGAGCCTGTGACAGAGTCGTGGGCTCGCGCGGAGATGGCGGCGGTGGATGCTGGACGGAGACCCATAAGCAGAGAATTTGCAGTCCCGTGGGTGTGTGTCGAGGGGAATTTTCATTCCCGGAATAGGCTGCTTCGTCACCATCTTCTGGATCAGATAAGAAGTTTGGGCCGATGCGTTCTTAGATGTTCGTGTCGACCGGGTGAGGTGTAACGTAACCTTGGTCAGCGAAGTGGTAAAGGGTGTCGAGGTTGTTGCTATCGAGAGGATTGTCTTCGTCGAGTGGGACTGGCACGGAGCAGTAAGGGAGTGGTCCGGCAGCTTCCGAAGCTCCAGGTACGTCTTCTTCTGCTGCGTCAGCTTCGGCAGCACGGTCAGCGAAGGAGCGAAGGCCTGCGACACCGTCGGTTGGGTCTTCTGTGTTGGCGACGTTGTCCAGATAATGTTGCAGCGTCAGTCGTTCGTAGAAGATCACATCACGTGATGCCACGGTATTTTTGTCTTGTATGTCGAGAATTTTCCAAGCTTGAAAATGTTGTGCGATGCCGAGGTCTAGCCCCCATCGTGCTCGTTGAGTGAAACGTCCTGCTCTGGCTGTGTGGGGTCTGTACTGTACCATGCAACCGAAAACCCGAAGTAATTTTGTGCTGCTCCTTTTTCGTGTCCACAGCAGGTGCAGTGATGCGTTGTTCGGGAGCGATGACAAGGATAGCAAATTGTGCAGGTGGACTGCATGGGTCATCGCGTCTGGCCATAGTGCATTGGGCAGTCTCATCCCCAGGAGCAGCTTCCGCATCGTCGTCTGCAAGGTCCGGTTCATTCTTTCTGCGACCCCCTGTTGCTGGTGAGCGTAGGGTAGAGACACCAGGCGTCTGATTCCTCTCTCCGCCAAGTAGGTCCTGAATCGTTGTGACTGGTATTCTAGTGCGCCGTCGGATTGGAAGCTCTTGAGCGTAGTTTCTGATTCTCGTTCAGCGATTGGGAGCCACGTCGTGAAGGCTTCGAAGGCTTGATCTCGCGTCTTGAGGTTGTAGTGCCAAACATATCTTGTTGCTGCATCGATGAAAGTGATGACGTAGTTGAAGTCGGCTTCCGTGTCGTCTCGAGGCATGTTTAAGATGTCGCTGTAAACCTTTTCCATCGGTGCATATGCAGGCGCACTTGGATTGTGATGTGATGGGAAGGGTTGATGGGGAAGATCTGCTTCGGGGCACGTGAAGCACCGTGCGCGAGGTTGTCGAAGTTCTTGGCCGCTTGTTGTAAGAAGAGCGTTTCGTTCAAATACTTCGGCTTGGATTGTTTGTAGTACGGTGCTGTTTGCAGGATGCCCAAGGCGTTGGTGCCAGATGTCGTCGGAAGCTCGATGGCCGGGCGAGCGTTGGTACATGTCGGTGTTGGAGAAGAACGCGACGACCGTGGTGGGACTTCGGCAGACTTCTCGTGTGATGGGCATAAGTTGATCTGCTTCGGTTGGCGGTCCTCGGATCGCTAGTGGTGGTACTTGGCTGGGTCCTGCTGCTGCTACTGAAGGTGATGGTTGGGAAGGGACACTTGCTGGTACTTGTCTTTCTTGTCTGATGACTGCTAATGCTCGTGTTCTCTCTGTTGCAGGTATGGTGTTGGAGTACCAGAATCCATCGGGGTTGAAGTCGGGATCAAGATCCGGCGGGTGTGTCCAGGCGGCGAACGATACAATCCCATCGCTCTCGGCAGTACCGCGGTCGGGGACGAAGTCCAACACGAAGACGCCGGACTTCAGGAGAGCACGACCGATGAAGAGGCCGCCCTTCCCGTGGTAAAGGCGAAACTCGTTGGAGTCCGAGTCGCACTCCAGGTGAATCCCTTTAGCCATTAGCTGGCTGACGCTTAGCAGATTGTATCCCAAGTTGTCAACGATTAAGACCTTGTTGAGTTGAAGGATGACATTAGTTCCATGGACTGTAACTGAACCACCCCTTGTCTGTTTGTTTTCAGGTTCTTGTTGTTGGCGACGGTGATGATGACGTCGCGGTTGAGGCGTGGTTCTCGTTGCACGAAGCGTCCGGAAGAACACATGTGTTGACCGCAGCAGCTGTCCAAGAACCAGGTGTTTCGCCCGGTGGGTTCGGTGTTGGCGACCGCAGCGTATGTCGGCTTGACCTGAAGTCCTTCTGAGCGCGGCGGCGGGAATTCTTCTTCGTCTGGCGCGTAAGTGGGTGGTGATCCGGGTGCGCAGTTGTCGATGTGTACCATGCAGTTGATGATGTTCGATGTCCCTTGTGCAGATGTGGAAGAACGTCTTGGAGGGCTTTCTTGAGTGGAGGCGACTTGTGGGTCTACTGGACGATAGACACGAGGACGTGTGCAGTTGACTTTGGAATGTCCGGATGTTAGACAGTTGTGGCAGAACGGCGGCACAATGGTGAGTCCTCTGTTGTCGCGTTGATCTTGCTTGCCGCGTCGATTGTAGTTGTTGTCGTTCCTTCGTTGAGTGTAGAAAACTAACTGATGCTGCTTTCTTGGTTGTCTTTCTTCGAACAGGTCCATCTCCTGTTGTTCAGCATGAAGCTCGGCGCAGAGGTGCATCTCCGAGATCCTTCCGTGGGTGCGAAGAAGCGAGCGTGTGGTTCTCCATTCTGGCCCGAGCCCGGCGAGGACAAGCGTCACGAAGCTTTCTTCAGTGATTGTTCCTCCGCACCGAAGCAGGCGGTCGCGGAGTGTTTGGCATCGACTCATATACTGCATCGCCTTTTCCCCGGTCTTCATCTGTATTGTTGTCAGCTGTTGCATGAGTCTGCTTTGTGTCACGCTGTCGTTTGCTTGATAGAGACACTTGAGATGATGCCATGCGAGTTCCGCTGAGTTTCCATAGCTCCGATACGTTCTGATGCTCTGCTGTTCTTGTGGTGACAGGTTCCGCAGGAGAACTGTATACGCCAGCAGCGACTGATACGTGAAAGTTTCTTGCTCCTTTACAGTGCCGTTGCTTGGGAATGGCAGGGACCCGTTGAAGTATCCCAAGAGATGCGCAGCCTCCATCAGCAGCTCGAACTCAAAGCTCCAGGTAAAGAAGTCGTGTCCGTTGAACGGTGAGGATGTCTGTAACTTGATTACGTGTGAAAACTGTGCCTGGAGACTCAAAATCTCGTTTGGTGTCTGTTGTGATGCAGCTGCTGTTGGTTGGGCACGGGGCGGCATGAACTCGAATGTCCCCGGTGAAGAGTGATAAGGCGCAAAGGTAGGCGCTTGATTGTGTCGTCCGAACGATGAGTTGTCGAGGCTCATCGGCGCTAATCCCATGTTTCCTCCGTTGCTCTGTGTTGAATGCGCAGGTGTCCTTGTCTGCTGCTGCTGGTCGAAGTGCGACATGAAGCTGAAGAACCTTTCCATAAGGTTCGGATCCACGCTTGAAGAGGGTGATGGGGTCACCATTTCCGGTGCTCTTCCTGTTGTTTCTTGAGCAGCGCCGGTCTCGGTTTGCAGTCCTGAAGTGTGCAATCCAGAGTTGTCGGGTTGAGTGTCTTGGGCGTTGGGTGAGCCTGTAGAGATTTTCTTGCCCTTGCTGTCCATGGCTTGTAATCAATGGAGTCGTTGAATTGCAGATTGTAGATAGAGCGTAGTTGCTGGGAGTTTGGTCTCTGGCCAGCTCTCATACCATGTTGGTCTGAGAAAAGCCCTTAGGATCTTTCCAGAGACTAAGTCCCAGTTGAAGAATGAGACTTGAGTAGTGCAGCGGAAGTTGAGTAGTTGAACCCTTGTACTAGTATATGAGAACAAGTGATTGATTAAAGAAACAAGCATACAGCAATATATAGAAAATAGGAAAGTAAAGCAGTTTGTAGAATACAGTTGCAGGAGCGGTTATCGAGTTGCACAGCGACTCGATTGTCGCTTCGGTTACCATTCGTGCAGTTGTAACGGTCAGTCGCAACCTCCAGTTGCGACCCTTCGAGTCCCTTTGCGTTCTTTGTCCAGCCCCTCGTGTAACCTCCGTTGACTCGCGTACCCGTTGCGATCTTCCTCGAGTGTAGTGTTACACTTCAGAAACGCTTAAGTCCTTTGAGGTATTTCCAATCCAACACCCTCTAAGGCACACACCTATATTGTCTACACTAACATACTAAGTTATGTTTGACACATTCGTGCTGGGTTAAATTGCAGGTGCGATTTGGCGTTGCGCCACGCGAGATGTGTTAAATTATATATCTTATATAATTGTAGGCTTGGTAGGCATTACGGAAACTTACTGTAGATGGTAGAATACCCCTCATTGTATCCCTCTCTTTTCTATTCTCCCTCTCCTTTTCTCGCGTAACTTCCTCTCCTAGCTTAAACCCTCACGCCATTCCATGGCCGCCTACCCTTCCTAGCTACCTAGCTCTCGTAACAAGATGTTTGCGAGGTCACCTTGTTCTCGCCAAGCCCGGCTTGGCGAAACCCCAAAGCGCCATACGTGTCCACCGATACCAAAACGTATACCTAACGGCACCGAATCGTAAACAAATCTTGACTGGGGTTCATGTGCATTCACATGCATCGAGCTTCCCGAGTTACGGCAATTTCGCGCACGTGTTCTTGCGAAATCCAACGAGTTTAAAACCGGGTTACTTTTCACGAAATGAATAGAGTATGAACATTTTGGACCCGCCCTTAGGCTGATTCATCAGGGTTGGTACAAGCATGGACCCTGAAAAAAGCGTAATCAGCGTAAAATTCCTGATACTGCATTGTGGGGCCTGATCCCGAGGCTAATGAAAGTCGATCAGATCAACGGTCCTCGCACCATCCCAGACATTCCAATTGCGGGGGTCCATTCTCCGCTTGTCCTCTCACCCACCTACCTACCACCTATTTTTTTCGCTCTGCATGCGACTTTCTCCGTGCTTCTGACATTTCTCGACTTCATTTCTCGATATTTTCCGAGCCGCGCTTTTCAGTTCGCATTTCAGTTGCGCCTGCCTTGTCCCATCATATGTCCCGTCCCGTTGTGCCCATCCGTTCCGCCTGTTATGCCAGGTAAGTTTCCGCGTTCCCCCGCCCGCACCTCCTCTGCACGCCGCCCGCGCCAATGACGCAGTCCGCCACCTCCTCCCTCCCGCGGGCCACCAAATCTAAGCAGGCATCGTCCTCCTTCTCCGTAGCGGTCGCACCTCCGTGACCCGCGGACCCGAATCTCTCAGCGGCGTCAGTTGCAGCGCCATTTGCGGCGTCAGTTGCAGTGGAGGTGGAGACGCCGTTGATCGAATCGCCTCCGCCAGCTGGCACACGCGTGGTGCGTCGATGAGAGGAAAGGAGCGGGTGATGAGGGGGGTGGGGGGCGCGGGGGGCGCGGGGGGGACCACCTGTGCTTGAACGCACTCCACGTACAACAAGCCCTTATATTTTCACGTGGAGTGCGTTGAGGCAGAGACAGTGACCACCCCCCCCGGTTCACAAACCCTTACATTTAGGGAGGCTCTCCGTCGGAGGCTGCACCCTCCCCCATTCCCCCCTCAGCTGCTCATCAGGACCACCTTGGCCCTCTTCACCCACCTGCTTCCGCTTTTTCACTCCGCTTGCGCGTTCTCCCCATTCCCCCCGTAGCCGCTGACAAGGTGACTTGGTGACTTTTGAGTCGACTCAAAAGTCACCTTGCTGACCAGGACAGGGCCTCGTCGTCCGCCTGCCACCGCGTTCCGCATTTCCCCTCCCCTTGGACCCCTTCCCCTTGCCCACTCTCTCCCCTCCGCCTACCCACCCTCCCCTAGGACCCCTCCTGCCCCCCCGCCTCAGCGGCTGACGAGAACCAGCTCCAACCTCGTCATCCGCCTTCCGCCGCTTCACTGGGGCAAAGCAACGCTCGCCATTGTGGTGGGTCACACCTTGGGGCCACACTCTGGGTGGCGCACTGGGTGGCAAACTGGGTGGCATTGGGTGTGGCAGTCTTGGAGGCAGACTGCAGGCCATAAGGTGCGGTGAGGTCCGGGACATGGCGCAGTAAGCTATGCCATGATGTAAGTAGGGGTGCAGGCAGGCAAGGAGCGAGAAAAGGCCTCCTGGGTTTGCTGCAAACAAACCCATTCGCAAGCAGGCAAGCGGTTTATTGGGACTGCAGCAGTTCTCGGGTCTACAACCAGCATGACGTGCCACGGCATGCCATGCTCCATATGCCATGGCATGGCATGCCATGCTGTATCCCATGCCCCTTCTCTCTGTTGACTGTTGTCTCCCTTGCGCACTCCCACTGTCTCCCTTGCTGACTTCCCCATGGCTCCCTCACCTCGTTGGCATGTTATCTCTCTCGTGCTGCTGCTGCCGTGGCTGCTACCGCCGCTGATGCGTGAAGTCGCCTCCCAGGATGAGCAATTCTTCCTCCGCTCTCTGCCCATTGCTGCTGCTGTATTCGTGATGTGAGGGTTGTGAGGGCCGTGCATGTGCCATGAGGTGGTGTGCATGGGCCATGGGGTGGTGTGCATATGCCATGGGATGGTGCGCACCAGTCAGGTTTTTCAGTGAACTTTCCAAACGCGAAACCTAGATGCAGTTGTGTTGCTGCCATGCTGGGATGCCAGCTTCAAGCCATGTGCCATCACGCCTGCTGTCCCATGCAGCCACACAATCTACCAATCAATAGCCGAGTGCTCATTATGCACACTCCATGCCTTACTCCCACTCTCCCTCTCCAGTGTGCAATCCCCTTTCTTTATTCCAGCAGCTACACGTCTCTATCTCTCAACCCCGTCCTCCCCCCCCCCAGGCGCTTCTCTCTCCACATCGCGCGTCACAGAATGCTGGCTATCTTCGTGTGTGCGGCATTCGTAGTGCGCAGGATTCGAATCAACAGCTGTCAGCTGCTGCACACGTGGCAGCTGTTCGGTTGGAGCGGCGACACGACCATTCCCACCGCCTCCATCTGCCATGTTGCGCTCGGCAAGCAGGTCAGTGCAACACACAGCACAGGTCAGCACGTCCCCGTAGGGAGAAGTAGCAAAGTGTGAAGTACCACCACGAGTGCTGGTGAGCAAATAAGCTGCAGTAATGGCCAGCGGGTAAGTGCCAATGAAGCTGCCGCATTGTGCTGTGAAAGGTGGTTGAATGATGGGATGGATGGTCCTGAGGCGAGGCCTACACGCATCGCTACAAGTGAAGGTTGCGCCATGCCATGAGATGGCATTGGGTTGATTCTCTGCCTGGCACACCATGGGATGAGGCTTTCCCCCACTCCCCCCCCTACCAAGTGCTCTACTACTGCATTCCAATTTACTACTGCCGAATATCAGCTGCTGACGGGAGGCAGCTGGAGGTTGACCACCATCTGTCAAGGGACGAAAACCCGTGGCTGCAGCAAGAAGTGTCTTCGTTTCTGCTTGGCTTGAGCACAAAAACTTCTAAAAAAGAAAACTGACTTCTATTATAGAAGCTTCTTGCTGCTAGGGTTGCATGGGTCGAGGCAGTCGTCCTTTTCGCCCTGGTCGCATATGTCCTTCCGCTGATTCCCCACCTACCCACCACGTCACGCCACTTCCGTTTTTCTCCACATTCCGCATCGTCGACTTTACTACATAATTATTTGATTTGCTACACGTCATGTGTTCGCCGCATGCACTCACCATAATTTCTCCGCGTACTTACCATTCTCGTTCGTCTCCCCCTGGCTCTGCCTCGTGTGCGCCTACCCGCCCCGCTGCTTCGATCAGATTACTCATCTAATTTCCCCTCCTCGCGCGCCTTCCCCGCGCTGCCTTCCGCCGCAGAGGCAATGGCGGAGTCCGCCACCACGTCTTCCGCCCCGCGCGGCTCAGACGCCAAGCAGCAGGCCTCGTCCTTCTCCATGGTCATCACACCTCCGCAACCGGCGGACCCGAATCTCTCAGCGTCAAAGCCGGCGTCAGTTGCGGTGGAGTTAGAGACGCCGTTGATCGAGTCGCCTCCGCCAGCTGGCACACGCGTGGTGCGTCGATGAGAGAAAAAGAGGGGTTTGGGGGGGGGAAGGGGTCGGAGAGGGGATATGTGAATTGCCGGTTGTAGGAAAAAAAACCGTCTCTGCCTGAACGCACGCCACGTGCAACGAACCCGTATATCCTCCCCGTTGTACGCCACGCCCTTTCCCCCTTCCCTGCGCAGTTGCTAATCAGGACCAGCATGGGCCTCTTCATCCGTCTGCCGCCCCTTCCCACAATCCCCGTTCCCCTTAACCCTCCCCCTTGCCCGCTCTCCCACCTTTCCCCCTCCGCCTCCCCTCTTCCCTCCCCCCTCCCCCCCCCCGGGCAGCTGCTGACGAGGACCAGCTCGGACCTCGTCATCCGTCTGCCGCCGCTCCACTGGGCCAAAGCAACGTTCTTTGCTGTGAGGGCTATGCGTGTGCCATAGGGGGTGTGCGGGTGTCATGGGGGGTGTGCGCGTGCCATGAGTGGGTGCATGTGCCATGAGGGGTCTGCGTATGCCATGGGGTGGTGTGCGTGTGCTATGGGGGGGTGCACGCTGGTCTAGGAATCAGAGTTTGCCAAAAACGAGACGGTGATGGGCTTGCATTGCTGCCATGTTGTGAGGTTATCTTCTTGCCATGTGCCACCACGCCTGCGCTCCCATGCATGCTTTCACCTTCCCATCTGCATGTTTTCACCTTCGCATCCAGTAGTCGATTGAATGCAAATTATGCACACTCCATACCTTGCTCCCACTTTCCTTCTCCACTGCGCAATCCCCTTCCTTCATTCCAGCACCTACACTTCCCTCTCTTAACCCCGTCCTCTCCTCCCCTTCCTCCCCGCTCAATATCTTCTCCCCCCCACCCTCCCCCCCTTCTTCCTCTCTTTGCTCGTCTCAGAATGGTAACTTTGTTTGGGGGTGTCACATTTGTGGTGTGCACGGTACGAATCGACAGCTGTCAGCTGCTGCACACGTGGCAGCTGTTTGGGTGGAGCGACAGCACGGCCATCCCCACCGCCTCCATCCGCCGCGTCACTCACATGAGGGAGGTCAGTGCCCTCGCAGGGTTAAGCATTGAAGTCTGAAGTCCAGTACAACAGGGCTGTTGAAGCAAGCATGCTGCAGTAACGGCCAGCGGGCAAGGTCCAATGAAGCCGTGGGGATGTGCTGTGATAGATGGTTGGATGATAGGGTGGGATGGGATGTGATTATTGGGCTGTTGTGATCATCTCGTTGCCATGTGCCGGATCGATTTTCCTGCACCCACTTGCCCGCCACCCATCCCGCTCTCCCCCCCCACACCCCCCCCCCCTCCTCCCAACTTTCCTGGCAGGTGCGTCACTGGTGGATGCCAATGTACTACTGCCAGATATTAGCTGCTGACGGTAGGCAGCTGCTGTTTGGCCTCCATTTATCAAGAGACGAAAACGCGTGGCTGCAGCAACAAGTGTCTTCGTTTCTGCTTGGCCTGGCCAAAAAAACTACTATTGTTCAAGATTGACTCCCAAGGACGAAGCCACAAGAGCTTTCCGTATGGCACCTGTACTGCCACGTGCCTGCATGCAGGAGCCCTCCTTGAGACTTGCACCTTATAGCGGCTATTGCATGGCCCGGCTTTTGAATGAGGGTTGGAGATACAAGCCATACTATTGGGCTGAGAGAAAGCCCTTAGGATCTTTTCAGAGACTAAGCCCCAGCTGTGGAGACTTGAGACTTTGAGTAGTGCAGCGGAAGTTGAGACGGTTGAACCCTTGTACTAGTATGTGAGAACAAGTGATTAATTAAAGAAACAAGCATACAGCAATATATAGAAGATAAGAAAGCAGTTGTAGAATACAGTTACAGCAACGGTTTATCGAGTCGCACAGCGACTCGATTGCCGCTTCGGTTACCATCCGTGATGTTGTAACGGTCAGTCGTAACCTCCAGTTGCGACCTTTCGAGTCTTTTCGCATTCTTTGTCCGCCCCCTCGTGCAACCTCCGTTGACTCGCGTGCTCCCCTGTAATCTTCCTCGAGTACAGTGTTATACTTCAGAAACGCTTAAGTCATTTGAGATATTTCCAACACTCCCTTTCGTTTCTGGAGTGCTGGCGTGTTCAGATCCGGTGACGTTTGTTTGCCCGGTCAGGAGCATGCAGTAGTCGAATTTTGCTTTCGCCAATTTATTCGTCAGATAATCTGCGGCCATTTCTGTCGTCGGGCAGTAACTGAGTTGAAGTCTCCCCTTCGCGATTTCATCCTTGACGAAGAAGTACCGCAGGGCGATGTGCTTGGTTCGGTTGGCGAAGCCGTCCTTGTTCGCGATTTTGATCGCAGATTGGTTGTCGCTGAGGAGTGAGAAGGCGGGCAGGGTCGCGATCTTCGCTTCCTCGAGTAGCTCCCGCAGGTAGAGTCCTTCCTTGGTCGCAGTACAAAGGGCGATATACTCTGCTTCAGCCGATGATAGTGCGATTAACTCCTGCTTGCTCGACTGCCAGGAGATAGTTCCGATGGGTTCTAGTCGGTAGATGTAGCCCGTCCTAGATCGTCGATTTTCCCTATCTCCCGCGTGGTCAGCGTCGACGTATCCGAGTAGTCGTACGGACGGTGTTGTCGCTTTGCTGTAGGTAAGCCCGATCGTCGGCGTGGAGACGAAGTAGAGTAGTGCCCGGTTGAGCTCCTCAAGATCTTCCTGTTCCGGTTGCTTCAGATGCGTCGCCAGTTGACTCGCACTATAGGACAGGTCGGGTCGGCAAGTTACTGCTGCGAATAGTAGGCAGCCGAGCTTCTGTTGATACTCCTGGATTTGCTTCGCGGGGAGTTTTGCGGAGGTGCTGTTGTTGTTCCCGTAGTGGTAGGGGGTTGGGACAGTAGTCGGTGTTAAACCGAATTTCTTCGCGACGGTGCCTGAGTACTTTCCAGCGTGTAGGTAGAACGCCGTGTCGTTTTCGACGACATTCAGTCCTAGGTACTGGGTCACTTCGTCGGACACCGTGAGTGTTAAGTCTTCTTTCAGCTCCCGTTCGAACCAGGTGGCGATGTCGGTAGTGGAGCCGATGTAGAGCAGGTCGTCGACGTAGACGATGAGTAGGATATACTCTCTTCCCTTCTGCAGTCCGTACATTCCTTGGTCATGCGGCAGCTGTAGGAATCCGATTTTTGCGAGACGGCCGTGGAGATGCTCCTGCCAACGCCGCGGGGCTTGCTTGATCCTGTATAAGGATTTTGTCAGTTGGCATACTTTCGTGGGGTCGTCGATGAATCCGTGGGGTTGTTCGACGAAAATCTCGGCGTCCACAGGTGCGTATAGGAACGCATTCGCGACGTCGATTTGGCGTAGTGGTAATGTTTTCGTGGCCGCGACGGCGAGTAGGATGCGTAATGAGGTGTGACGGGAGACTGGAGCGAAGGTTTCTGTGTAGTCGGTCCCGTATCGTTGATCGAAGCCTCGTACGACCCATCGAGCTTTGAATCGTTCGATGGAGCCGTCTGAGTTGGTCTTAATGCGGTACACCCATTTCCCCGAGAGGACGTTTTTCCCGTTGATGTTTGTTGCAGGTACCAGTTTCCATGTTTTCTGGTCTTGCAGAGCCTTTAACTCCTTTTCCATCGCTTCCTTCCATTTCGCCTTATATTCCCCCCCCAGAGCCTGCGACAGGGTCGAAGGCTCTCGCGGAGAAGGCGGCGGCGGATGCTGGACGGAGACCCAGAGGCCTAGAATCTGCAGTCCTGTGGGTGTGTGTCGAGGGGAATTTTCATTCCCGGAATAAGCTGCTTCGTCACCGTCTTCTGGGTCAGGTAAGAAGTTGGGACCGATGCGTTCTGAAACATTTGTGTCGACTGGGTGGGGTGTAATGTAACCTTGGTCAGCGAAGTGGTAAAAGGTGTCGAGGTTGTTGCTATCGAGAGGATTGTCTTCGTCGAGTGGAACAGGTACGGAACAGAATGGGAGTGGTCCGGCAGCTTCCGAGGCTTCAGGTACGTCTTCTTCTGCCGCGTCAGCTTCGGCAGCACGGTCGGCGAAGGAACGAAGTCCGGAGAAGCCGTCGGTGGGGTCTTGTGTGTTGGCAATGTTGTCCAGGTAATGCTGCAGCGTCAGTCGCTCGTAGAAGATAACATCACGTGATGCCACGGTATTTTTGTCTTGTATGTCGAGAATTTTCCACGCGTGAAAATGTTTGGCGATGCCGAGGTGTAGTCCCCACCGAGCTCGTTGTGTGAAGCGTCCTGCTCGGGCTGTGTGGGGTCTGTACTGTACCATGCAGCCGAAAACTCGGAGTAATTTTGTGCTGCCCCTTTTTCTTGTCCACAACAGGTGCGGTGATGCGTTGTTGGGAAGCGATGACGAGGACAGCAGGTTGTGCAGGTGAACTGCATGTGTTATCGCGTCTGGCCACAGTGTGGTGGGCAGCCTCATTCCCAGAAGCAGTTTTCGCATCGTCGTCTGCAAGGTCCGGTTCATGCGTTCTGCGACCCCCTGCTGCTGGTGTGCATAGGGCAGAGACACCAGGCGTCTGATTCCTCTTTCCGCCAGATAGGTCATGAAGCGTTGTGACTGGTATTCCAGTGCACCGTCTGACTGGAAGCTCTTGAGCTTGGTTCCTGATTCTCGTTCGGCGATGGGAAGCCATGTTGTGAAGGCGTCGAAAGCTTGATCGCGCGTCTTGAGATTGAAGTGCCAGACGTATCTGGTTGCTGCGTCGATGAACGTGATGACGTAGTTGAAGTCGGCTTCGGTGTCTTCTCGAGGCATGTTTAAAATATCGCTGTAGACTTTTTCCATCGGAGCGTAGGTAGGTGCGCTTGGGTTGTGATGAGATGGAAAAGGCTGATGGGGAAGATCTGCTTCGGGGCACGTGAAGCACCGTGCTCGTGGTCTTCGAAGTTCTTGGCCGCTCGTCATTAGGAGGGCGTTGCGTTCTAACACCTCTGCTTGGATTGTTTGTAGTATCGTGCTGTTTGCAGGATGCCCGAGGCGTTGGTGCCAGATGTCGTCGGAAGCGCGATGACCCGGCGAGCGGTGGTATATGTCGGCGTTGGAGAAGAATGCGACGACTGTGGCGGGACTTCGACAAACTTATCGTGTGATGGGCATAAGTTGGTCTGCTTCGGTTGGCGGTCCTCGGATCGCCGGTGGTGGGACTCGGCTGGGTCCTGCTGCTGCTACTGCAGGTGATGGTTTGGTTGGGATACTCGCGGGTACTTGTCTTTCTTGTCTGATGACTGCTAATGCTCGTGTTCTTTCTGCTGCAGGTATGGTGTTGGAGTGCCAGAAGCCGTCACTGTCGAATTCTGGATCAAGATCCGGCGGGTGTGTCCAGGCGGCGAATGATACGATGCCGTCGCTGTCGGCAGTACCGCGGTCGGGGACGAAGTCCAACACGAAGACGCCGGATTTCAGGAGGGCACGACCGATGAAGAGGCCACCCTTTCCGTGGTATAGCCGAAACTCGTTGGAGTAGGAGTCGCACTCCAGGTGAATCCCCTTGGCGATTAGTTGGCTTACGCTTAGTAGGTTGTATCCCAGGTTGTCGACAATGAGGACTTTGTTGAGCTGAAGTATGACGTTTGTCTCCATGGATTGTAACTGAACCACGCCTTGTCTGTTTGTCTTCAGATTTTCGTTGTTGGCGACGGTGATGACGACGTCGCGGTTGAGGCGTTTCTCCTGTTGCACGAATCGTCCCGAAGAGCACATGTGTTGCCCGCAGCAGCTGTCCAAGAACCAGGTGTTTCGCCCGTGGGTTCGGCGTTGGCGACGCAGCATATGTTGGTTGACTTGAAGGCCTTGTGAGCGCGGTGGCGGGATCTCTTCGTCTGGCGCGTAAGTGGGTGGTGACCGGGTGCGCAGTTGTCGATGTGTACCATGCAGTTGATAATGTTGGTGTTGTTGTGCAGATGTTGAAGAGCGCCTTGGAGGACTTGCTTGAGTGGAAGCGACTTGTGGGTCTGCTGCACGGTAAACGCGAGGGCGGTTGCAGTTGACTTTGGAGTGCCCGGAAGTCTGGCAGTTGTGGCAGAACGGCGGTACGATGGTGATCCTCGGTTGTCGCGTGATCTTGCTTGCTGCGTCGGTTGTAGTTGTTGTCATTTCTTCTTTGAGTGTAGAAGACTAACTGCTGTTGCTTCCTTGGTTGTCTTTCCTCGAACAGATCCATCTCCTGTTGTTCAGCGTGAAGCTCGGCGCAGAGGTGCATCTCCGAAATTCTTCCGTGGGCTCGAAGAAGTGATCGTGTGGTTCTCCATTCTGGCCCGAGCCCGGCGAGGACAAGTGTCACGAAGCTTTCTTCAGTGATCGTTCCTCCGCACCGAAGCAGGCGGTCGCGGAGGGTCTGGCAGCGACTCATATACTGCATCGCCTTTTCCCCGGTCTTCATCTGTATTGTTGTCAGCTGTTGCATGAGTCTGCTTTGTGTCACGCTGTCGTTTGCTTGGTAAAGGCACTTGAGGTGGTGCCATGCGAGCTCCGCGGAGTTTCCATACTCCGATACGTTCTGATGCTCTGCTGCTCTTGTGGTGACAGGTTTCTCAGGAGTACCGTGTACGCCAGCAGCGACTGATATGTGAAGATCTCTTGTTCCTTCCCAGTGCCGTTGCTTGGGAATGGCAGGGACCCGTTGAAGTATCCCAGAAGATGCGCGGCCTCCATCAGCAGCTCGAACTCGAAGCTCCAGGTAAAGAAGTCGTGTCCGTTGAACGGTGAGGATGTCTGAAGTTTGATCACGTGTGAGAACTGCGCCTGTAAACTTAAGATTTCATTCGGTGTTTGTTGTGATGCAGCTGCTGTTGGCTGGGCACGGGGCGGCATGAATTCGAACGTCCCCGGCGAAGCATGATAAGGCGCAAAGGTAGGCGCTTGGTTGTGTCGCCCGAAGGATGAGTTGTCGAGGCTCATCGGCGCTAATCCCATATTCCCTCCATTGCTCTGTGTTGATTGCGCAGGTGTCCTTGTCTGCTGCTGCTGGTCGAAGTGTGACATGAAGCTGAAGAATCTCTCCATGAGATTCGGGTCCACACTTGAAGAGGGAGACGGAGTCACCATCTCTGGTACTCTTCCCGTTGTTTCTTGAGCAGTCCCGGTCTCTGTCTGCAGTCCTGAGGTGTGCAGACCAGAGTTGCCGTGTTGAGTTTCTTGGGCGCTGGGTGAGCCCGTAGAGACTTTCTTGCCCTTGTTGTCCATGTCTTGTAATCAATGGAGTTGTTGAATCAAGTTGAGTTGCTGGTTGTTGATGGAGTGTAGTTGCTTGGGAGTTTGGTCTCTGACCAGCTCTCATACCATGTTGGGCTGAGAAAAAGCCCTTAGGATCTTTTGCAGAGACTAAGTCCCAGCTGTAGAGACTTGAGACTTGGAGTAGTGCAGCGGAAGTTGAGACAGTTGAACCCTTGTACTAGTATGTGAGAACAAGTGATTGATTAAAGAAACAAGCATACAGCAATATATAGAAGATAAGAAAGCAGTTGCAGAGTACAGTTACAGGAACGGTTTATCGAGTCGCATAGCGACTCGATTGCCGCTTCGGTTACCATCCGTGATGCTGTAACGGTCAGTCGCAACCTCCAGTTGCGACCTTTCGGGTCTTTTCGCATTCTTTGTCCGCCCCCTCGTGTAACCTCCGTTGACTCGCGTGCTCCCCTGTAGTCTTCCTCGAGTGTAGTGTTACACTTCAGAAACGCTTAAGTTCTTTGAGATATTTCCAACAACATCAAATGGTAATAGTCATAAATCTTGATGTAAAATGCAGAATAACATGCTTAAAATTGCAAAACAGACAAAGATAGCTCCGCAACCCTGAGACGATTAAGTCGACTCTTGGTTTTTTTTTTTTTTTTTTTTCCAACGTTTTTGCAATGCTAATTAGTGTGCACGTAGGTGTTTGCTGGCTGTCGCGCCAAATTTAGCATATGGGTGTGCGTGAAGGTGGTGCGCAAAGTGTTTCAGTTCTTGTTTTGTTCTTTTTGCGTCGCTTGGGCCTGCCCAGTTTGACGATGTGAGAGTGGCGAGGGAATGGGCTGAAGGGCCTAAACCGCTCTTTTGTGGTTTGGCAAGAGGGAGGGGAGTGGGCTGCAATTTGTCCGGCAGCCCTGGGCGGCAACCTGACGCGCTTCGTCGGCGTTTGAAGTGGCGTCCGATTCGGGGGACCGAGGTTTGGAGATTCCCGACCTCGGCGACCTCGTCGCATGCTGACGTCAGAGGCCGCACACCTTCTATTCGAGAGGCTTGGTTGTCGGATGAAGACTCCACGGAGCTTCCACATGCCGATTTTTGCTAGAAACTCCATTGAACACACCCCCAAGGGCACGCTTGGAATTTGGGGAGGGCCAGAGTAACTGCTCCAGCCAACGAAGGGCAGGGCACGCGAAAACTCAAGAGCAGATGATGACCAAAGCGAGCTATGCTACGCTCCCTCGAGTCGACTCGCCCAGTAGTCAACAGGCTACAAGTGCTCGAAGGTTGTACTGTATTACAACATTCATTTCTTTCTACAAGGGCCCAAAGTTTCTAGAACTTCATACCCCAAGTAAATTGATGACCAACTGGGTCCTAAATGTTTGAACCTTTTCAATGCAATAACGACTTCGTATACCAAATCGGCTAGTGTCTTCATGAAGAATGTTGAAGTATACTCGACAAAGTTTACTTATGCATTCCTGATATAACATTTAGACTGTACTAGTAGCGCGATGCCTCATATGGAAGGACGCGCGTAATGACGTCAGCAGTAGCGAGTCAACGCATGAACAATAGCTTCGCGCGTATAGTCACCCGAAGGGTCACGCCACTCTCAGTCACACGAACAGTCACTAGTCATATCACGTGAATAGTCACGATACACTACGAAGGGTACATCTTGAATAGGTACTTCCTAGACTATAAATATGCCGGTATTACTCGTTATTATTTACTTGTCATTTCGGACACTTCCAATACAAGGTGTAAAATCTTTTGCTAACTTTAACTCGTGGTCTCACCAACTCTAGATCCTGGCCACCCTAAACACGTGGTTCACCACAACATGGTATTCTGAGTTAGTGAAGTTACAGGAACCGATACAAGATGATTTTGATTACGCCCTTAAGCTTAAGTCGTAGATCCATAATTATGTCAGCTGCTAAGACTGGAAAGTCACCTATGAATTCTCTTACTTCAGGTCTTTCTACTGACGATGTATCTGACTTCGCTTCCCTGATGGCTAATAAGTCTACTCAGCAACAACAACAAGCTCCAGCGCATCCTACAGCTTCTATTAGCCTTGATAACTCTAGTTATGCAAGAGCTGCTGTTGCCGCTGGGCCTTCAGCCTCTAGAGATGAATCTTCTGGGTCTTTTTGTCAACTTATACATATGTTCTATGTAGAAGTTATAGGCTAGACTAGGTGTGTGCTTCTAGTGAGTACAACCCAACAGGTATATGTTCTAGGTTTCTCTTCCTAGTAATCATTATCTTATTCCAACACTTTTGACTTACATGGGCGACCTGTTCAACAACAGCAACAACAATAACCGCATCAGCAACAACATCAAATGGCAAAAGCAAGACCATTCTCTGTTGAAGCTGTTGTAAATTAAACAGATTTCCTAACTATCTCCAAGTTGAAGACCTTAACTTACTTTGATGGTCGCGACTTCTGTACTTGGGAATTCAAATTCGAACTCCTCGCGCACTCTTCTGCTATCTGGGGATATTTCGACGGTATAATCCGTTATCCAGAGACAGGAACGATCAAAGATCGAGCGCGTTATTACAAGTATTCGCTTATGGCTTATACACTACAAGTGCGGAATCTCTCACTTGAAGAGCAGTTGGGAGTTCGGTGCTTCAAACCTTCACTTGCTCCAGCCTTCTATGCCTGGGACTACCTACAAAAGTTATATCAAGTACAAGATTCCGTCACACAGAGCAAGCTGTTAAGTCAACTTACAGCAATGCAAATGCTTCTAGGAGAAAAAGCCGGCAGCTACATCAACAGGTGCAGACCACTTCGAGATCAGCTCTGCAAGTGCAGAGGAAACCTCAGCGACGAGCTCTTCGTCACTATCCTTCTGGCTAGACTTGGACCCGAATGGAGGCAGTGCAAGTCCCTTCTTCTTTCTCAAGGGAACATCTCAGAAACTTTTCTTTGCGCTACTCTGATGGCTGAGCAGCAGGACTTGGACTTGTACAATGCAAAAGGAGACAATGCCAAGAGTGGGTTAAGCTTCTATACAGGTGGATCAAGTGAAGAAGAGTAGACAAGAGGTGCATCAAATCAATGGGAGAAGACAAGAAAATGAGGAAAGGGCTTCTGCAAGTATTGCAAACGAGCACGTCATAATATTGAAGAGCGTCAAAAATTGAAGAACAGGAATCAACAAAAGTCGGGTGAAGCCGCCCCTGTCAAGACTATCTCGCTGCCTTCAGCTTCTTCAACTCAACTTGCAATTATTAATTGCATGATTGGACCACACTAGTCTAGTGGTATATG